ACCACCACAACAACAGCCGCCGCGCGGGGTGTGCTGTTCGGTTTTTGGAGTTTTTGGTCGAAAGCCTTAAAACCTAGAGTTTGGCGTGGTTTGCGTGAACCAGACGATGTTTCGGAGATTTTGTTCATAGTAGTTTGGTCTTGTTGTTGGTGAGGTTGTTGAGAAAGTGTCGCAAATACCGTGCTGTTCATCCTTTCAGTTTGTTGAAGATTTTGGCTAGAAAGCCTTAGAATCCTAGAAAACACGAGTGTTGTTGTATTGGTGGCGTCTTAAGGGCAACAGGGAGCAACATTGTCATTGTCATCACTGTAGGTATCGTCATCGCCAGTGCTATCTTCCACATGAGCAATCAACATCATGCCAAACAACATCAACATCATCAGCATCCCCCCCATGCCCCCTCCCCACCAATGCACAGAGCAGAAATAGAAACAGTACATGTAAGCTGCATTCGCATGGACGTCATCACCCCCCCCATCCCCCCTCCTCCCCACCCCTGTGGAAGTCCAAGCTGGCATGTGCGAAAAGTCGAGGTCGGCACAGTGCTGCCCAGAAATTTAGCTAAACACCCGAAATGCCCCCATCCCACCCCTCCCCACCAATGCACAAAGCACAAAACAACAAGAGAAACACACAAAAGAGGGGCTGCATTCGCATGGACCGCAACAGAACAAAGGTCAACAAGAGAAACACAAGACAGCCCCCCCTCCCCCCACCCCTCCTTAGCCCTGCACGGAGCTGAAGTACAAGTGGAAGTCCAAGCTCAAAAAATCGGGAGCCGGCAAGAACACTGTAAAAACCGACGCGAAATGCAACACAAATAGGAAAACACAGAAAAACGATGCGAAATGTAAAGCTCAGCTTTTTTTGTACAGTGTAGCCCGCCAGCTGTCGCAGTTTTTGTTCGAAAACACCGCAAACACCGATGCGAAAACAAGTCGCAAATTCAATTCCGGGCGAGCAAAGTGCCAACACTCGAGTTTCAGCACATGCCACCGAAGAAATCGCTCCACCCCGCGCGGCGGCAGACGCAAGTGCTGCCAACAACTACTGCTGCTACTGCTACTGCTACTGCTACTGCCACTGCGGACTGCCACTGCCACTGCCACCGCCGCCTCTCGTGCTACCGCTACCATTACCGCTCCCACTGCCACTACCTGTACCTGCTACTGCTACTGCTACGGCTCCTGCTCCTGCTCCTCCTGCTCCTGCTCCTGCTCCTGCTCCTGCTGCTCCTACTACTACTACTACTACTACTACTACGACCACGACCACGACCACGACTACCACTGCTATTTCTACGGATATCACGCACATCGAATAGCAACCATGATCATTCATCAGCATCATGATAGTCATGACAGCGGGAACCATGGCAACAGCAAGTGCGATATCAATTGTATTAATAGAAATAGTAGCTCTTTGATATACATGGAAGACTGGTAGTATTCACAATTTTCGATGAGGTTTTCTTCGTGTTCACAGGAAGAACAGCAATAGCACAAAGGACCGCAATGATGGCGAATAGAGCCACAACAATATCAACAAGCGCAGCAAAACGGTCAGCTAACTCCGCAAGTCCCATTGCCTCCTGCAGCTCCAGTGCCTCAGAGCATTACGTCATAGGGCCTATCGTTCTTCAGTTTTATAGTTTCGGGGTAATAATAGGCAGTGAGTATCGAGGTTCTTTGCAAAATGTCTTCAACCCGCTGCCCGGAAAGATCCTGCCGGAACAGAGACACAATGCATCTCGGCAGAGACTCTGGAGGCCCTAGACACCAAGGCTGCAAAGAATGAAGCTGAAGAAGCCACCCGAGTTTTCCACAGGTCTCAAAGACAAGGACAGTCAAAAGGAATGAGAAGTAATCAGACAGTACCCTCAAGGTGTCGACAAAGGGCTGCAGAATATTGAGCACATCTGCAGCGAAGAGAGCTCGACAAAGATGACCATGCCGCAGGATGAAACACAAATTTGCAGCGATGACGACATTGGAGATGACCCGTCCCGAAAGGAGGAGCTTGACTTGCAATGGCAGTGCAGACAAACAACGTAAGACTCCCGGTTCTCGCCTGATCAGCCGATTGAAATTTGTCAGGTGAGCCGTCCGCCAAATGAAGAACAATGAGGTCAACCGGACGCTGACGCCGTAATGGGTTGCAAGACTACAAATAATTGATTTATTTATTCTTTATCACTTCTTAGAATTCTTAGTGTGTTGGCTTATTACCAATATTGCTTTTATTGCCATAATCGGAGGTCGTATGGTCATGATCATTTCATTATTCTTGGCATTGTTGATATCTATCAAGTACGCCCCAAAATTAGATGAGCCTCCTGGTGCTGACAAGCGACGGGATCAGGGAGCATGAAGTCCCCATAGGAGTCGGACTCGGTGGCATCGTCCTGACCTGCTCAGAGAGAGGCTCTTTGCCTTTGGCATTCTGGGGTTCTGGGTCTCCATCGCATTTCAGAGCGTGCTATAGGGAATTACAGGCCTACACCCTGCAGCCCTAACTCTACGCCCGGACTGAAAGCTAACCTGATGACATAATCATAACACTAACAAAACTGCAGCAGCTGCTACTACCACTAAGTACCACTATTACACAACTACAACAAGAACACAGAACAAGAACAACACAACAGAGTCCACGCGCATCAGCTCAAGCCACACCGGGAAAAGAAAAAAAAACAAACTACTCCAGAAGATGCGCATAGACCCGAAACCCTGAGCTTCACACCCTTAGCCCAGAATCACTAAAGCCACTAATTAGAGAAGCCCGTTCAGAAGCCTTCGTCCGGTCTCACCAGCAATGTGTTAATTCGCTTGCCTTGTCTCGATTTGCCTTGGTCAACATCATCCCACCAAGCTGAGCATGCTGCCGCAACCCATGTCAACACGACTACGAGCAAGACTCGGTGCAGGAACCCTGACCCAACTTGAAAGTGCGAACCTGCTGCGCGCTGCTCACCAGGAGGCGGGCCTGTGCCAAGAGCGACTTGCTGCGTCATCATAAACTGTTACTGTTACTGACGCCATAAACTTCGCCACCAGGCTAGACCTGTGGGCAAAGATACATGCTGCCAGATGCGGCATCAAATCCCTCCACACCTCCAAAACCAAAGCATGACACACACAACCATGCCCGCCTGGCCTTTGCCATTTCCCAGGCGTGGCCTTGGGGCTTACTATTCAGATTGGCTTCAACACTCCGCGAAGTCTACGGCAGGGTTCGGCAGGATGCAGGAAATGCTCCTGGCACTGATGAAGCAGAACCTGAGAATAGAATTCCAAATCCCGACTGAAAATGCTCCAGAGAAAACTCCCCGTTAGGAGAAATCGCAGGATGCTATATGGAGGTTTAGCTCTAGCTGATAAGTCCCACAATCGAACGGGACTGCTTCTGTACCGCGTACAATGAGACGGTGCGGGGTCTTGACACGTCTGGACTCACTTGCTTCGACTCTTCAACAAAAACCAAAAACAACACGGATGGGATGAAATTGTATGCTTTCCGAAAACATGTGTTCAGGAACTCCTACCGCTGGCTGTTACATGCAAATCTTGCTTCACGAGCAGAAGACAGCGCAACTAAGGCTGATTTGACCAAAATGCCTTTGAGTGCGGATTTTCGTTCGGCGTCAGAGTGGTGGAGGCTATGATACTAGGGTTTAAAGTTTAGGACGTTTAGGGATACTTTGCCTGACCTTGTAGTCTAAATCGAATGAGCAAAGAGAATAACACCGTGAAAACTCCCCCTACCCCACCGCCCACTTCAAGAACCCTTCTGGAACCCTTCTAGAATCCTACAAATACGAACCTTCGAACTGCACTCATCTAGAGTACTGCGAAGTCCTTGCTAATCCAGAAATGGGAGCGGCTTGAAGCCAGAAAGCCCACAAGCTCTTTCCTTCGACAGGTCTACCCAAACAGCCCGCGCTGCTGAAATAAGTAAGATCTCTCAACTATTGAGGGCTCCTTCATATGATCTGAGGTATACCGTCTACTTAACTATAATACGAGTACGGGACGTACGGCTTATGGGTCCCCGCGCTGAACAACTTGCTTGCCACGGGGCGCAGTCGACATGATTGATGCTGGAGGACGCGGTGCAGACTAAGCATCCGATGCATGAAGCCAGTGTGGCAGCGCCCATGGAAGCTTCCCCAGGTGCGCATACGAGGACTGCTCGAGCAAGACTTACCACGAGCTTCAGCCACAAGAAGCATTTCTGACCATGTAACCCGAGCATAGCCTTGTTCCCTGACTAGCATATGCGGCACCACCTTTTGCAATTCCCGGAAGTTGCACCCTGCATCGAAGCGCTTGAAATGTGTCGCTCATGGCCAGCATGTAAACATACATGCGATGCTGCACTGGCCAGTCTCACAGAGATGCCTGCATCATATAAAGCTCAAACACGACACCATAATGGCGCGCAACGTAGCCTTTACACGACAACTTGAAGCTGCGAGGATCTGCTCTCAAATCCTGCGAAGACTGGCGAGTGGTTGTCGGTGAGTGAAACAGAGGCTCATTGAAAAAGGCTTCAAGGTCTCAGGGAGCCCAATGCCGGGGAAATAAAAGAACCCCAAATCTTGTATGAGCTTGTTCGTCTTGAGGGGTATTGAGCTCGCTTGGATTTCTAAGCATCGCACATTTGGCGGCAGACAAGGAGTAAGATCGGGACCGATTGCCCGGAACTGCAGTACTGAAAAAGTTCATCCGACCAACCAACATGCCATATTGTAAGGGGTTGTGGAAACAAGGGGCTCAATCTCCAGTCAGCGGCCATGGTTCACCACGGATCCGAGTATGTAGATACTATATATGAAGACGCACCGACATCTGAAACTCTAATAGTCGGGGCAAGTTATAAGTGCGCGGAGCGGACTCTAAACCCTAACACCCTAAACCCTACACCCTAAACCCTACACCCCTAGACCCTAAACCCTACACCCCTAGACCCTAAACCCTACACCCCCAGACCCTAAACCGCTATCCCCAGCGCAGGAAGGTCAGTGTCAGCTTCTGCTCCTTGCATCGCAAAGCGGTCGGTGAAAACCTGAACTTCACTCTTGGCACGGGTAGTAATGTAGGGGCCTTTCGCCTTTCAGGGATCCTTTAAAAGGGGTCCACAAGGGTTGCTATAAGGGCCATTACAAGGATTTAGTTTTGTAATAATAGTAATAACAAGAATTCGGTTCCTTTTCAAGGGTCCCTTTAAAGCGATCTATGAGGGTTCTTTGAGGAGGGACCTTAATAATTAGAACAGGGTTTTTGGGCCCATTCTATTATAACAAGGAGTCCCCTGAATAGTATTTGTAATTATTTAGGCCCCTGAAGTACGTGGCTTGGGGTTCCTCATGCCTTGAGCGCAGACCTCCCGGAAAGAACATCGACACCCTCACACCCGAAGCCCCTACAAACCCCCAAATACCCCAAAGGATTGGATTAGGGTTTAGGTGGAATTCCCTAAACCTGAAAAAATGAGCGGGTTTAGTGTGTAGGGTGGAGTTCCCTAAACCCTAAACACTGAGCAACTCAAAAGACCCCAAAAGGCCCTTCCCTCGAATCAGTTCCTGTGGGGTCAAAACCCCCTTGCGGCACTCCTTCTTGAGCTGCTCCACCATGTCTCGCCCCTGCGCTTGAAGACTTTAGGATGAGGTTGGGTTTTGGGTTAACTTACTTTTGGTTAGTAGGGAATGGAAGAACGGTAGTAACAGTAGTAATAATTGTACCCCATTCCTCCATTCCCTACTAACCAAAGCTAAGTTAAGGGTCTGGGGTTATTATAAGTTTGATATGCTTCCATTCAAGGGCTCTGTGTTACTGTCATTGGGCGTGAGGGTTCTTATCGATTTAGAGTGTCCGGCTTCTTAGGTTTTGGGGTCGCAACCCTAAACTAAACCCTAAACCCCTGGCCCCTCTAAACCCTAAACCCACAAAGCCCACACCCAAAAAAAACCTAAACCCCTAAACCTACAAAGCCCAAGCCCCTAAACCCAAAACCCTAAACCCCAAACCCCCAAAGCCTTAATTACGGCTTGTTCGGCGACTCCAGGAGCTCCCGAGAATCTCCGAAACCCTCAAGTGGTCAACAGGCAGTGCAGGAACCGGGGCCTAAGCCCCTTTTTTTATCCCTAAACCCCACAACCCCTAAACCCCTAAAGCCTAAACTCCATACCCCCAAACCCCTGAGCCCTAAACCCTAAACCTGCACCCGAAACGCCCTAAACGCCCGAAGCCCTAGACGCTCTCAAAACTGATTTCCGAGCTCAAGGCTCTCCCTGCAGTGACAGAAGCGGGGACTGCTCTTACCTTGCCTCCGATGGCGAGAGATCTCAATAGCCCTTGCTTGAGGAGTATACTATATAACCTTCAACTCATAATAGGAAACTTGAGGAGTATACTATATACCCTTAGACTCATAATAAGAAACTTGATCATGCGGACGGCCTACTGGGGTATGACACTGGTGATCAACCAGAAAATCCCGCCCGCAGGAGACAACGTGTGTGAAGAGTATACTAGATGCCCTTAAACTCACAGTAAGAAGCCCGTTGTAATACAAGGCGTTTTAATTGATTAAGGGGGTATCGGGCTCTCTGCGCACCTGCTGAACGAAAGCTCAGCAGATGCAGACCCGAAGCCCGAGGGTTGGAAGGATCGCCTCACAGCACTTTGCAAGATAATGTAACATACTAGAACATAACAGAGTATATGCCGTTTAGTACGACAGAATATAATAAAATATAATATGATATGTCATACAATACAATGCAACGCATCCGCGCCTTCAGCGCCTCACCGTTCACAGCGATAAGGTGGTCACCATTCAAGATCATGTTCTTCGGGTTCTTCGTGTTCCATTCGGCGAAGAGGCCTGCAGCGGCAACCCCTTCGCAAAACAAGATTGGCTAAACGAGGCTGCCCGCTTTCTGAGGCAAACCTCGAAATCCTAGCCCTTTTTCAGCACGGGCTTGACCCTAAACCTCTATAAGCCCTACCCCTAAACCCGAAACGAAAGCTGGCAACTCTCCAAGCCACAATTCCGCAGACTTTCCCGGAAGTTGAACAGCTACGTTATGCCTGAAATTATACGGAGGCATCATGAGATGAGGACCTTGCCATATAATGGGCTGCATATTGTGAGTTAAAGTTATACTCCTACTCCTTAATTCAGGGTCATTGGACTCTCTGGGTCTAAAGTTCGCGACCATCTAACCGTCAGCCTGGGAAGACATGAGTGCTCCGACCTTAGGTTCGTGAGTCTTGGGCAGAACTTCCACGGAATGACGCTTTAACACAGGGGCCTCAATAATTAGAATGGGGTTGTGGGCCGCATTATACCATATTCATAATAAAGAACCCAATGTGGTATTGCTATATTTCGGCCCCAGTACACATCTTTAGCCTCACATCAGAATCGCACCGACTTGCTCGCAAGGATCCTCGACATCCGCTGGTGACAGCGCATGACATTGTCATCTTGCTATCGGGGCCTTAATAATTGGAATAGGGTCTTGGTGTCAATTAAATTATACTATAATCATAATAAGGAACCCCAGAATAGTATTTCGGCCCGTATACTACTGTTCACCGGCTTCCTGGATCTGCCCGCTCGTGAGGGAATTTCTACAAAACCTGCGAGCTTCGAGCTCACGGTTCTGCTTCGGCGAGCCTCCAAGTTCATGGGTAGTTATACATGGGCTTATAAGTCCCCTAATAAGGAGTTATAACGATAGTTACCCTACTTATAACCCCACTGATAACTACCCATGAGCCTCCAAGTAGGGCCAAGAACTGAGGCCTTTTCGACTCGCACACTCGCTCAAGGCAGGCGCGGCTTCATGAGGTCTGATTGTTATCGTTTAGGCTTTCGGGTTTTGAACAGCTTGGGCAATCATCAGATGGGGCACAGAATCGTCCAGACCAGCCAATCCAGAAGCGAAGCAGAAAACAAATTCAAGAGAGAGAGAGAGAGAGGTAGAAACCATCTGCGAAAGCAGGCACATACAGGAAGCCGAAGCTGAATAGTGAGCCCAGCCCTTTTATCAGGTCTTTGAGACCAGGCAACCCTCCGAAACTAATTACAGTTCCAGCCTTCTTTGCTGACGGCCTCAATGAGGATCCTCGGACGGGCTCAGGAAAGAAACTCTGCGCAGGTTGCCTGCAAAACTGAGAATCGCTGCTTGTCTGTCTGCCCCCCAAAAAACACAGGTAGCCCTACACTGAGCCCTGCTCCGCTAACACCGATTGCTGTTGACCAAACAGGAGGCCCAACAAGGGAATCAAAACAGGCAGAATATTCCCAAAAAGCACCCCCGTTCAAGGCTGTGTGTGACACTCTGGAGCTTTACGGGGATTGAGAACAGCTTGGCCTAGGGGTTATGTGGTTTAGGAGTTTTAAACTCCTCGACTGTAGTATGAAAGCTTCTGGGTGCTTTTAGCTCACTGCATAGGCTTTGAGCTTCCTTATGCTGTAGTTTTGGGGTCCGCATTTGTTCTACGTTAGGGACATGGCTGCTCATGACGCTCGCAGAAAGGAGCCAGTGAGAACAACTCCAAAGAAACGACTTCATTCGACGCCCAGCGTCCCGGTGGAGCTTGCCTGACAGTGACCCCGCTGTTGCCGGAATGTGGTTGTGCAGGATTTGGGTTTCCAAGGATGACAAGGCTAACAAGTTCGAGTTTAGGGTTTAGGGCTAGTTTGGTCTCATTCCTCCCAGAACAGTACTGCAAGTCATGATTGCGAAAGGCGGGAAGGATCTGTACTGAAGCAAGGAGAAGGATCTAAACCATTGCCAAATGGAATCCTGCGGAACATTGGGCATCTGTGCGCCTCGCGATAGCATGACACCAAAGAGTAACCTTTGCCAACTGACGCAGAGATGTTGCTAGCCTGAAGATGTGTAAACCGCTGCAAAAAGCCCCTATAAAAGAACAGCGACGCCCTAAACGCTCAACCGCCATAACCCGCCGAAGAGACAGAACTCCAGGGGCAACCTTTCATAAGACCACACGCAACCCTGAGTCGCCATGATACTTTGGGTTCAGACGGTTCCGTTTGGGGCTCAGTGTTTAGAGTCATGCGCAGAGCTCAGGGTTTAGAGTCTAGGCCCTAGGACCTCAGGATTTCGGCACGCTCGCCCAAGGCAAACAAGGCTTCAGGCAAGAAGTCCTCAAGGTTGAGGGGTTTGGGGGTTTAGTGCATCGTGCCCTCTCACCCTCCCGAGACCTTGAAAGTGAGCTTTGCCCCCAGCAGGCCCTTCTCCTCCCGCTTCATTGACACCTTTCCGAGTTGGGTAGGGTTCTTTGTGCTACAGGGGCCGGGAGCATTAGAATACAAGGTCTTGCGGGCATTGCAGAAAATCGAAAGACATTAATAAAAAGGAACCCTAAGTAAAAGTTCTGGTAAATAATTATTCAGGCTGCAGTTTTGCGCTTTCAACCTCGGAAGTATCTGAGTAGCACCTAACCTACAGAGGCGGTGGCATCTCCGGGGCGTGCCCGTTGCTACAGCGAACCATCACGCAAACAGCAAGCAAGTCAAACATCGAGTGTTCTTGTGTATCACAGAAACCCCAGAGAAGGGTTCCTTATTCGGGGTATTAAGGCCCCCTACCCCCTCACGCTTATCCCACTAAGCATGCCGATGATGTGTAGCAATGTAACGCTTGTGTTGCATACCGGACTGCACCATTGCCTTCATGGAAATGAAAGCCAACCGAGACCTGATCCCAAGCGCTCCTCGAACCCCCATGCTGAACCCTTCATTAATGGAACCCTTTGAAGCCCGAGAGTAACCCGGTTCTCACCATTCCTGCCCTTGCCGAGAATTCCCTACAACTTCTTATAGGAACCCCTTTGAGAAACCCTCTGCTAACACGTTCTACCCGTAAACCCTGAACCCTTATACCGTTGCTTAAACCCGTACTGAGGCCGATGCGTGTGAAAACCCTCAAACCCTGAACCCCCAAGCCCTAAACGGGCCCTTTCTACTCCACCCTACTTGGAGGTTCATGGGGACTTAGAAGTGGGGTTACAGGTCCCCTAATAGAGGTTAAAACAACAGTTACCCTACTTATAACCTCACGTAAAACTGCCAATAAAACTCCAAGTAAACCCTAAACCCTATACCCGGATAGAATCCCTATAGATCCCTTTAAAGGGACCCTTAAAGGAACCCTTATGGCTCCGAAGCCCCGATCTGAAGGCTCCAGGAGGCCTCATAGGTCTGAGGCCGGGAGATGCTCAGCTCGAGCTCCTGGCTTACTTAGGGCACCAAAACAGCACATGAGCAAACATCTAAGTTAGGGATATCCCGTATAAACCCCCTTATAATGAAGCCCAATAAGGTAGGGATATCCCTATAAAATGCTTCTGCTTATGTGATTTTATTTGGGTCCCGAATTCCTTAGTCTGGAATGGCCACGGAAACGTCCCAGAGACTGCAGGAGCCCTTGGCTGAGGCTCCGAAATTTCTACAAAGGGCTCCTCGTAGTTGCCGGGTTCATAAGCCCCAAAAAGTGTCTACTTTGGGTTTTATAGTGGGTATAATATTATCCCAAAAAGTGTGAAGTGCATCTACTCAGCTACGAAGCTTATAGGGGCCTTAATCACTGGAACAGGGTTCTTTCTAAGGGTTCCTTAAAACAGGTCTACAAGGGTTAGTTACTATGAGGGGTCTATGATATATTGGGGCCTTCTTAATTAGAATAGGGTTTTGGGGCCCATGATGCTATATTTGCAAAACGGAACCCCAACCTAGTATAGGTAATCATTAAGGCCCCTATATTAAAGCCCTTTCTGGGCTTTTACTGCCTTTTCAAAGTTGGACTTTGTGATGTGTTTAAAGGTGTTGGTGCAGTTTTTGGTTTTCAAAATGTTTTTGCTGTGTTTAGTGCTTCTTGGCGCCTGCATTTAGGGTTTCGACTCTCGCAACTTGCACAAGGTCCTGGCCCCGGTCCAGCAACACCCGCTGGAGCTTCCTGCTGCCACTCTTAGGGTTCAGTCAGCTGAGGGTTCAGATATCTGGGGTCTGTAGGGTGGTGTAGGATTTAGGGTTACGGTATGGGGTTTAGGGTTTAGGAGGCCGAACAAACCGTAATCCCGGTTTAGGGTTTGGGGGGCTGTAGGGTTTGGGGGTTACGGCATGGGGTTTACGCCTTTGCGCGGGCCTTGTGTCGTATAAAGGGCTTGTTTCAAAAGGGTTTGTAGGGATCTAAAGCATTTGAAGAGTAGCATTATGTTTGAAACACCGATTTCAGAGAGCTTCGACTCGCACACTCGCACTCAGCAGGCACGGTTCCAGGGTCACTCCGCGCAGCTAGGGGAGGGGCACGTGTGCAAATTTGGCTTCGGATTCGTCGTCAGGCTCCCTCTCGGTGCTTGAGGTGACAAAGGGTTCGAAGGATGCCAGGCTTAGGGACTCTAGGGGTTCAGGAGTGAAGCTTCACCGGTTTGCCACGGAGACAGGATTCAGGGGCGAGGGCCTTCGAGTCGATCCCTAAGCCCAGAAACCCAAAACTCCGAGCGACCCCTATATAGGTCCTCTAATAGTGCTTATCACGATTGTTATCCTACTGATTATAACCCCACTTCTAACTACCCATGAACCTCCAAGTAACAGTTGAACCCTGAAACCCTCCCTCAATTTCGCAGCACGCGTCATCTTGACTGCCTTTTCCGACAGTCTGTGAGATCAGTCAGTCTTCAAGAATTTTCTATAACTTTGCACAATGACCAAAGCATTTGCGTCCCGCTATCCAACTCCAGCCGTGCGACTCGCAGATTTTGGTGCTTCCACCGCCCTCGCCGTTCACAGCCTCGGCTGTCGCAGTCTTCATGGGCTTCCACGGATCGGGTGCCAAAGAAAAGTGAAACAAAACATGCACCAAACAGCGACAGAAGCTGCAACTCATGGCTTGGACCCGTAAACCCTCATTACAGCCCTAAGCCGCCTTCACCCCTGGCATGCCTAAACCCCTCGACCCTAATATAGGGGCCTTAATACCTACCTGTACTATCTTGGGGGGCTTTCTTATTTTAGGTATAGTATAACGGCCCGAAGACCCTATTCTGACTATTACGGCCCCTATAGTAGACCCCAAGAACACCCAAAGTAAGGCCCAGAGGCGAGGATGCGGTCGTACTTCTCAATCTTCTTGTCAGGATTGCTTGAGTTGAAGTCCTCTTTGCTGTCAGGGCTCCAACGGTCCCAAAGGGCTCCGTAACTGTAAGGGTTCCACTAGTATGAGGGGTCGGTGATCGGGGAGAGGGCGCATGGCTCAAGACACATTTTGGGATTTTGACCAACGCGCATGAACGGCGGAGCGGCTTGCCGGCTTCAGCGCACAATGCTTGCCAGAGCCTAACTGGCCCTAACTCACGAACAGTGTCAGCCGAAAACACATCTCCATGGCTAGAGGGCAAGGAGGGGGCTTCAAATGCCCTTGGAAAGCTCCACACTCCCCAAGCACCACAAACACGAACAGCCTAGAGCTCTGGCTACAAAACTTACGGCTATGATGATGACGGCAGCTTGAGAAACGGGGGTCCGTTCATCAGTGCCAAAGTACGGCTTACACTTGGCCGTTCTCGACGGGCATAGAGCCGTATGGGATTTCAGCACTCGCAACTTGGCGAGGTCTCAAGTATGTCGACGGGCACTTTGGCCAATCAACGGGGAATAGCGATGGTCATCGTTCCCATTCAAGTGCACTCGATACCCTATTGCCAAGGTAGCATCCTAATCATACATCATCTCGTGCTACACATTTGCTTGGCCCTGTCGTCCAAGGTTTACGCTCTCGCAGCTCAGACATACCAGGCGAGGTCTCGGGTAGGTTTAGGGATTAGGGTCTAGACGCTCGGCCTCCAAATCCCTGAATGCCAAGCCCATCGAAGGCCTGGACGATCCCTGGGGCGAAATTGACGATCATGGGGCCTCCGGGAAAGCTGAAGCAATCGAGCGTGAGAAGCGAACTTCTGGATTTGGCGCGGGGCTCAGAGCTCATGGAGACAGCCATGATGCGGATACGAGCACAAGACGCAATGAGTGTTACGATCAGGATCATCTGGAACAACAGGATACACATACGAGTAACAAACACAATGATCACAACAGGGGCAGTAGCAGCATCGGAAACAATCATATGCCATCGGGCAGTAGCAGTGGCAGTGGTAGAAGTCGTTGGCGTTGTAGTCGTCGCGTCGTCGTCATCGTCGACGACGCCACCAGCAGCAGCAGCAGTAGTACCAGTACCATACGTAGCAGCTCCGTCATAACATGATCACAAAAAGTTGCAGTAGCAGACACATCAAAGCACAGCAGGACTGGGAGGACCTTCGATTTACGCAGGGTCATGTCAGGACGCACGGCATAGAAGCATCTTCGGCAATAAGCTGCAACTACCCGTGCAAAAAATCAGTATTGCAGTTATTCGACCAGCAGTGAGAGCACTGCAAAGTAAAAGCTTTGTATCCCGTACGAAAAAGTGTGCGAGATGCACTTGGCATGGCTCTCGGAATCTCTAGCTAGACTGCACAGAGAAGAAGTTGTACATGCCAGGATGGGAACTGGGAGGTCAGCTGCGGCCACGGATAAACCGGATCTGCCATGCTTGCGAGACGGAGCGAAAGTCAGAGACAATGCTCTCAACAAGCATCCGTAGCCTGAAACAATGAGACGGCTTTAGCAGTGGGTTCCCGAAACAAACGAAGCCACACATTCGGAGAATGTTTGGCGGGTCACACACCTTGTGGTGTTCTAGTAACAGTGACTTAACACCTTTAACCCCAATAGCAGCCTACATGTTGAACAAGTCTTAAAGCTGCTGTAGAATGCCCGACAAGACCTTGAGAACTCTTGCAACCGCGCAAGAAAACAACCCAAACGAATCCGCATGTTTCGTCCCCTGACTCTTCAAGAGGGTCAAAGGCGAAGCTTTGGAGCTTGGGGCTGCTCTGCCTAGCTCGCTGATGTCGTCAAGCTCGAGACCCAGTTGCCTTGGATGGATTTGGCATGTGATTTCATTATTATGGCTCATGTAATTCGTGTCGAAAGCTTGAAGCTTCACCGCTGCATCACGCTGCCTCCGTGATATGAACCCGTAGCTGAATCCAAGCGGTCTGTGCTGCTGGAGCAGCAAACGAGTTCTATGGGCAGGAGCCTACGTCGGAAACCTTGGAAGCTGCGTAGACTGCGACTTTCACGATGGGCGGTAGCTCTTCAAGCACAACCATAGTCCCTCGTCTTTTCGAATCCTCGTCAAAATTACTTCC